GTTGTTCATCTAACATCGGTTCGCCAGTTTGTTCATCAAACATCTCGCCCGTTGTTCATCTTACAGCTGGCCCTGTTGTTCATCTAGCATCTTCACCATGTTGTCATCTAATATCTTCACCTGGTGTTCATCTTACATCTGTTCACCTTGTTCATCTAACATCTTCGCGCTGATGTTTCATCTAAACCCTTTACCTGTTGTTCATCTTACAATCTTCACCTGTTGTTCTCTAACATCTTCACCTTTGTTCATCTAACAACTTTACCTGTTTGTTCATCTTACATCTTCACCTGTTGTTCGCTCTAACATCTTCTCCTGTTGTTCTCTACATCTTCACCTTTGTTCATCTTACAGCTTTCGCCTGTTGTCTCTAACATCTTCATCTGTGTTTCAATCTAAGCAACTTCACCTGTTGTTCATGGCTTAACATCTATCACCTGTTGTCATCTAACAACTTCACCTGTTGTTCATCTAACATCTTCACCGTTGTTCATCTAACATCTCACACTGTTGTCCATCTAACATCTTCACTCTGTTGTTCCTCTAACATCATTCACAGTTTTTCATACTTACATCTTCACCTGTTTTACATCTTACTTGCTTCGCCTGTGTTCATCTTAACATCTTCGCTGTTGTTCCTCTAACATCTTCACTGCTTTGTTTCATCTTGCATCATCACCAGTTGTTCATTTTGCATCTTCACCTGTTGTTCATCTTGCCATCGTCACCTGTTGTTCATCTTAACACTTCACCTGTTTGTTCATCTTACATCTTCACCTGTTGTTCATCTACATCTTCACCTGTTGTTCTTCTTACCTCTCACCTGTTTGTTCATCGTAACATCTTCACCCTTTTGTTCATCTTACATCTTCGCCTGTTTGTTCTCTAACATCTTCGCCTGTTGTTCATTCTAACTTCTTCACCTCATGCTTATCTTAACTTCTTCACCTTGGTGTACATCTTAACATCTTCACCTGTTGTTCATCCTAACATCTTCACCTGTTTTTCATCTAACATCTTCGCCTGTTGTTCATCTAACTTCTTCACCTGTTGTTCATATTACATCTTCACCTGTTGTTCATCTAACATCTTCACCTGTTGTATCATCTAATATCTTCGCCTGTTGTTCAAACTAACATCTTCGCCTGTTGTTCATCTACATCTTCACTCTGTGTTCATTCTATACAATAATCGCCTGTTGTTCCTCTCACATTTTCACCTGTTCATCATCTAATACTTCATCTGTTGTTTGCATCTTACATCTTCGCCTGTTTGTTCCATCCTAACACCTTGCATCTGTTTGAGCATCTTACATCTATCGCCTGTTGATCATCTAAACATCTTCACTGTTGTGCATCTTACATCATCGCCTGTTGTTTCATCTAAAATCTTCATCTGTTGTGCATCTTACATTTTCGCTTGTTGTTCATCTAAAATCTTCATCTGTTGTGCATCAATCTTACACTTCGCTGTGGCATCTTACATCTTCAAGACCTGTTGTTTCATCTTACAGTCATTCACCTGTTTGTTTCATCTCTTAAATCTTCACCTGTGTTCATCTTACATCTTTCGCCAGTTGTTCATACTAACATCTTCACCTGTTTGCTCATCTAACCATCTTTCACCTGTTCCATCTAACATCTTCAACCTGTTGTTAATACTAACATCTACACCTGTTATTCATTTAAAACATCTTCACATGTTGTTCATACTAACATCTTCAACTGTTGTTCATCTTACATCTTCACCAGTTTTGTTCTTCTAGCATCTTCGCCTGTTGTTCATCTACCATCGTACTGCCTGTTGTTCATCTAACATCATCCCTGTGTTCACCTTACGCTTCGCCTGTTGTTCATCTAACATCGTCGTCTTTGTTCCTCTAACAAGCTTCACCATGTTTGTTCATCTAACATTTCACACTGATGTTTCATCTTACCTCTTCAACCCGTTGTTACATCTAAATCTCACACTGTTGTTCATTCTAAAATCTTCGCATGTTGATTCATCTAACATCTTCGCCTGTTCCATGTTACAGCTACGCCTGATTTCATTCTAACATCTTTCACTGTTGTTCATCTACCATCTTCCACCTGTTGTTCATCTTCCAATCTTCACGTGTGTTCATCTAACATCCTTCAACCTGTTGTTTCATCTAACATCGTCACCTGTTGTTCATCTCACAATTCTATTATCACCTGATGTTCATCTTCCATCTTCACCTGTTGTTCATCTAACATCTTTCAACCTGTTGTTCATCTTACATCTTTCACCTGTTTGTTCATCTTACTTTTCACCCGATGTCAACTTCACATCTTCAACGCTGTTTGTTCTACATCAAATCTTCACATTTATTGTTCATCTACAATTTACGCCTGTTGTTCCATCTTACAATTTCGCCTGTTGTTCATCTATACCATTCACCTGTTGTTCATCTTACATCTCCACTCTGTAGTTCATCTAATACCTCCACCGTTGTTCATCTTACATCTTCATCTGTTGTTCATCTAAAATCTTCACCTGTTCGTCATCTAACATCTTCACACCGTTGTTCATCTACATTATCACCGTTTGTCTTCTTCTTACATCTTCACCATTGTTCATCTTACATCTTCGCCTGTTGCCCATCTAATACCTTCACTTTGTTCATCTTACATCTTCACCTGTTGTTCATCTAAATACCTTCACCTGTTTTGTTCATATTACATCTCTTCACCTGTTGTTCATACAAACCTCTTCACTCTGTTTGTTCATGCTACCATCTTCACCGCTGTTTGTTTCATACCTTACCTCTCACCTGTTGTTCATCTTACATCTTGCCTGTTCATCTAACATTCTTCAACTGTTTTCATCCTTACATCTTCGCCTGTTTGTTCATACTAACAACTTCTCCTGTTGTCATCTAACATCTTTCGCCTGTTGTTCATCCAAAATCTTCGCCTGTTGTTCATCTTACAGCTTCTTCCTGGTTGTTCATCTAACAACCATCGACTTTGTTCTCTAAAACATCTCGCCTGTTGTTCATCTAACATCTTCACCTGTTGTTCATACTAACATCTTCATCTGTTGTGCATCGTACATCTTCGCCTGTTGTGCACTTACATCATCACCTGTTGTTCATCTAACATCATCCAACCTCTTGATCATCTTACTCTTTTCACGCTGTTGTTTCACTTACATCTTCACCTGTTGTTGCATCTTACATCTTCGCCTGTTGTTCATCTAACATCTTCACCACATTGCTCATCTAACATCTTCACACCCTTCTGTTCAGCTAACATCAGGTACCTGTGTTCATTTAACATATTCACCTGTTGTTCATGCAAACATCTCACCTGTGTGTTTTATTATCTAACATCTCACCTGTTTTAATCTTACATCATGCTTGTTGTTTCATCTTACAGCTTCGCCTGTAGTTCATCTTACAGCATCGCCTGTTGCTTCATCAAACATCGTCGCTTTGTTTCATCTAACATCTTCACCTGTTGTTATCTAACATCTTTACCTGTTGTTCATCTAACAATCTTCACCCTGTTTTTTCTTCTTACATCTCATCTGTTGTTCAACTCTACATTTTCACCTGTTGTTTATCTAACATTTCACCTGTTGTTTCATCCTAACATCATTACCTGTGATTCATTCTATACATCTACACCTGTTGATCAATCATCTACCATTTTCACCTTTGTTCATCTTACATCTTCAACCTGTTTGTCTTCATCTTAGAGCTTCGCCTGTTGTTCATCTAACATCTTCATCTGTTGATCATCTAACATCTTCACCGGTTTTCAATGTTACATCTTCACACTGTTGTTCATCTAACACTTCACCTGGTTTGTTTCATCTAACATCTTCACCGTTTGTTCATCTTACATCTTCACCTGTTGTTCATCTAACACTTCACCTGATGTTCATCTTACATCTTTCACCTGTTTTTCCATCTACATCTCGTCCTGTTGTTCATCTAATCCTTCACCGGTTGATCATCTTGCCACATCTTTACCTGTTGTTCATCTATACTTTCACCGTTGTTCTCTTCCATCTTCACCTGTTGTTCAACTAACATCATCACCTGATGTTCATCTTTACATCTTCATCTGTTTGTTCATCTAACATCTCACCTGTTGTTCATCTTAACAATCATCACCTGTTGTTCACCTACAGCTTCGCCTGTTGTCATCTAACATCTCACCTGTTGTTTCCTCTTATATCTTCACCAGTTGTTCTCTATCGTCTTCCCTGGTTCATCTAACATCTACATCTGTTGTTCAACTACATCGCCTGCGTTCATCAAACATCGTTCGCCTGTTCTTGTTCATCCTAAAACTTCGCCTTTTCTCCATCTTACAGCTTCTCCTGTTGTCATACTAACATCTTTCGCCTGATCTTTGTTTCATCTAACATCTTCGCCTGTTATTCAATCTAACATCTTCGGCCTGATGTTCATCTAACTTCTTCGCCTGTTGTTCATCTTATAGCGTCGCGCTGTTGTTTTATCTAACATCTTCGTCTGTTGTTTCCATACTTACAGCTTCGCCTGTTGTTTTATCTAACATGTTTCGCCTGTTGTTCATCTAATATCTTCGCCTGTATTGTTCACTTACAGCCTTCGCCTGTTTGTTTATCTAACATCTTCGCCTCTTGTCATCTTACCATCTTCGCCTTTGAGTTCATCAACATTTTCGCACTGTTGTTCAGACTAACATCTTACCTGTTGTTTCATCTAACATCTCACCTTTGTTCATCTAACATCTTCTGCCTGTTGTTCATCTACATCTTCGCCTGTTGTTTCATCAAACATCTTCGCCTGTTTCACTTACATCTTCGCTGTTTGTTCATCGACACATCTTCGCCTGTTGTTCATCTTACATCATTCGCCTGTTGTTCGTCTAAATCATCTTCGCTTTTTATGGGGGGGGGGGGGGGGGGGGGGGAGTATTATAAAAAATTTTTCTCGGCCTATTGTTCCAATCCTAACATCCTTCGCCTGTTGTTCATCTTACATCTTCGCCTGTTTGTTCATCTACAATCTTTCGCCGTTGTTCATCTAACTGCTTCACCTGTTGTTCATCTAACATCATTCGCCTGTTTTTCATCTAACACTTCCGCCTGGTTGCGTTCAGCTTACATCTCGCCCTGTTGTTCATCTAACATCTTCACCTGTTGTGTCATCTAACATCTATCGCCTGTTGTCATCTACATCTTCGCCTGTTTGTTCATCTAAACTTCTTCACCTGTTTGTTCATCTTACTTACATCTTCGCCTGTTGTTCCATCTAACATCCATCACCTGTTGCGTACATCTTACATCTTCGCCTGTATGTTCATCTAACATTGTGAGAGGAAATGTTCAAACAGATAGTAGTAACGAAGCGAGTTATATGGTATGATAGTCCATGTCGACAGAATATAAAGAATCGTGTTTCATTGAAAATAATTAAAAATTTCTTTTGGGTTTATATAAATAGGGTCATTTATATAATTAATAAAATTTTGGAAAATGTATGATACATTTACCAAATTTTTGGGTAGAAACAAGTTATGTTTCAACGGAACACAACACTACCTACGTCATCATAAAGAGTCAAGTGTTGTTTTGTGGGGTGCAGTGAGGTGTATGTCTTCCGTTAACCTTTCATTTTAAATAGTTCCTTGATAATGTGATAGAAATCATGAAAGTGATTGAGGAATTTCAGTATATCTTTCACATGGTTGTTCTGCATTACTGTTATACTGTGATCTTATTGCATATAGATAATATATAATATATATATATATATTATATAAAAATTTATATATTCAATATAAAATATATATAAATATATATATTATATATAAATAAAATATATATATATATATATATGATATAAAATATATATTATATCATGCGATAGGTTAAAAACTGATCAGTTAGCAAGAACTCGTTTAGAATTTTTCACTAATATTTTTTAAAGATATTTTTTCATTAAATGTAAAAATTAATAATTTTTTTTCCAAAAGAACCTTAAAAACTTACCGAATCTTATTATAAAAAAGACAGATTAAATATAACCCTAATCCAAACTAAAAATATATGTTTTATAAATTTACACAGTAATTTAATAAAAAAACAAACACAATGAAAATATATTTTTTCGTAGATTCATTCTGAACCTAATGAAAAAAAAATAGATTTCATTTTATTTATTTTTAAATAATGCCCAACTTATCTAAAAATATTTAGCTGATTAATGCTAACATAATTGCACTTGTTTTAATATGGTAGGCAGGTTTTCTAGAGGTACAAAATTATTAATTTTTACATTAGCATAAATAGAAAAAATAAATCTTAAACGTGTAAGAGAAAAATTTTAAGGCCTTAATATGTAAACGAGTTTGCAACTGGCCAGTTTACGTTTATTCGGCACGATATATCTTTGTAGTCAGTAGGTTGGTAGACAGCAACACTCCAGGGAGGTACTAACAGTCCTACCAAATGAGTGTGAAACACAAGCCTGTAATTGTTTTGGCATGAAAATAGGAATTCTGGTGTCCTTTTTTTCTGTCTCATAACATCGCAAGGCTGCAATTATTGTCTTGCAACTTCTACTACGCTTAGATCACAATACACATGCAAGGTATAAACTAACCACTCCGTGTTTTCTTCTATTTTCTTCTAGTTTTTGTTCATGTTTATTTTTTCCTAGTCTCTCCATGGGAAAGGTGGAACAGAAATTCTCATCTGTAAGATATGCGTGTCATAAGGCGAACTAAATTCCGGGAGAATAGGCAAGTAACCGACTCCCTTCATCCAGTATAAACAATCAAAAACAAGGAAAAGAAAACATAAGAAGGGAAAGTATGAATTGGCGTGATGTAGTGGACGGAAAAGAAAGAAATGACTACCATGTTATGAATGAAAGAAGTTGGATGCCCTGGCCTAAGGGAAAACAAAGCGGAAGAGAGTAGGGAGTTTCCGTGGGAGAATAAATGGGATTATCTGAGAGAGTTAGAGCTAAGAGAAAGTGAAGCAATAATGTTGAAGAATCAGTTATGGAGAGAGAAGAGGGAATATAAATGTATAAATTCAGGATTATATGGATTACAATAAGAGCCAGATGTGAAAAGGGGGTCATAATAAGTTGTGTATGCAGCCTGGAGAAGAGAGGAGTTGTAAGGACAATCGAATGACACGATTGCAAACAAACCATACCATAGCGGGATTTGAACCCGCGGTCAGAGAGTCCTCAAAACTCAGACCGCTAACGCGAACGGTCCAGGCCGTTTTGAGACTCACTGACCGCGGGATCAAATCCACCTGGTATGGTTTTGTTGCAATCGTTCATTACGACATACGATCGACAAATAGTCCAAATATACACTTTTAAGGAAGGTTAATTTGTAAAATAAACAGTCCTGTGTTAAGCCTGCAAACAAACAACTGAAGTACTCTGGCCACATCTCTGAAAATAGCCCATGCATCTTGTGCGCAAATATTTCAGGAATTATCTACAGAGATATTAGACCCAGCAAGTGTTTTGGGTATTGCCTAAATGAGATCCTATTGTGGAACAAACATCACCATGGAATTAAAGATGAAAACATGAAAACACCTCCAAGAAAACCTGACAGCATTCATAATGGATTGAAATTAAAAGGACCAGGGATAGATGGTGCTATCATCCTGGTGTAGCTGATGTGCCTGGAAGGTAGTAACGTACAAAATTAGAGGAATGACGCTGTGCCCCGAGGGAGAATCAGAGTTCAGTAAGGAAAACAGTGACGACAATGACCTGGCAAAAAACAATTTTACAAACTAACCCAGAGCGGAGACATAGCTCTAGCGTGGGGAAACAGGTGTAAACAAGGAGAACATGTAAAAAACACAATGATGGCAAACTGGCAATACCAATGGGAAATAGCAAACAAAGAAGCCCCGTTATTAGTTGAAGATATAACATTCCAGAAATAACTGGTTGAAGGCACCATAGTAGTAAAAAAAGTTGCTGAAGATAGTAATGAAACAGATAACACCCAGTAAGGGAATGCTACAAAAAAAGGCAAACTGAAACCAGGCCTATCATATTCTATGCAATAGGTAATTTCAGGCATGGAATAGCTAAAGAACAGACGGGACGTCAGCTTTGACCACCCAGAAATACCGTGCCCATATGACAACATGAGAATCAACCTTGCTTCTTGAAAGCTTGACCACCCCCGAGATGTGTCACTCTTCAGTTTAAGAAAGACAATGCTATAACTTATGTTGCATGCACACCACCTAAAGGAAACAAGTTACAGAATATCCAGGCCATGGAAAAACCTGGGGAGCCACAACTACTCCAGATAGACAGGGTTTTTTTTAGCACCAGGAAAGATAAAAAACTAGCAGGAAATGACGGAAATCGTACACCAACTCCGATCATTTCTGGAATGGAATCTCAGTCGATGGCCTTCACTCCAAAAAAAAAAAAACGGATATTAGTGCTGGAGAAAAAAAAACCAACCAAATACCTTTCATCCATGAACTGCTTACAGAGTCAAATGCAATGACTCTTATTGTGGCTAGCTGGTCTAGTGGCTAACGCGACCGGAGCTGGAGATTTGAACTCATATACCGCGGGTTCACCACCGCCGGGGTATGGTTCAAACATGCACTGTTATCGCGCTATTTATCACAAAGACCCACATAAATGATCCTTTGACAATGAAAATATGGATCCCGGGTTACCACCTATACAGATGTGACAGAAGTGACCAGGCAAATGGGGGTTTTAACCTGAGAAACAACACTTATATGCGCGAACTACTAAATGCCCCAGATGATGTAGTTGAAGTTTTGGCAGTAACAGAACGAGAACCAAACCTGGTGCATTGTGGCTGTATACAAGATCCGATGCCAACTTTCCAACAATTCCATGAAAGAGCTTCAGAAAATTGATCATTGTCTGCAAAAATTGCACCTCCTGGCCCCAAACACTTAGTCCCTGGGGAATTTCAACCTAAGGCACCTTAAAAATGGAGAATTATCAATTAATGCTGAGCAGAGATAACACCTAGAGGCAGCTCAGATAAAAAAACTCGGCATACACACAAGCTTTTTAAAATCCTGCACCAAAATCACTTTAAACCGAGCAAATAATAATGCCTACAAGACTGTGGAGAATACACTGACCTCAACTTTCACTAAAATCACCGATGATCAGATACGAAATACTTACCATATCATACACAATATTCTCAGATCAACACAACATAAAGAGAGGCTCAGACATGTATGGCGTGGGGCCCCAGACCGACCAAAATAGTATCAGTCACGAAGGAAGCCTTCACCAATTGAACTTCAATAACAAAAACAAAAACGTGGGACTGCAAGTCCCAACCGGTACTAAATGGATATAAACTGGAAAGACAGCCTAAGCAACACGATCCAAACCTATGTCCTAGAAATAAATTAACTCTATGGCACTACGAGGTAATGCTCAAGGAAATTCCTTTAAGGAAAAGCGAGATGAAAAACACGAACTAGAAAAGCAAAAGGAATATTAAGAGGAGTCAAAAAAGAAACCTAAAAGTAATATTTCTTATCTTATGCCAAATCAAGTCGAGAACAACATCCAGTATCGGTCCTACACAGATTACAGCAAGGACTGAATGAAACAAATCAAGTCCCAGTAAGACTCGGTTTTTAAGCGAGCCGCTGACAGACTGAGAGTCGAAGATCTAAATATTTTTTTTATGAGAGAACAAAATTCATACTGATAGCGCTAACATCCCATAACATTTAAAATCATTGAAAGGGTTTCTAGAGAAGCAGACTCACCACCTCATCTAGATCCTCAATCAGTTACACAACCCAGGCAACATGGTATAGAGCCGTCGCTCCTCTCTGTCCAACAACTGGACCATCTGTCAACAAAGTACTTGATGCTCTAGAAAACAACATTAAATGTAGTATACACAGACCATTTCAAAAGTGCCTTTGACAAGTGTGACCAAGTGTAAATTGTTTCGACAAAATGTGATGATAAAGAGAAAGGGTGGTAGTGGAATCTATGTCGGTTGCGTGTGGCCAACAGTAACAGCCTGGTTGAACAGGC